GGGCGACTTCAAAGGTCATGAAAAACTACCTCTCGTTCTGAGGACGCTGTCTTAACTTAGCCTCCTTTCACGGGCGGCTGATATACATTACTTTTTTTCTCAAACCTGGTGATGATCAACCAGTTCCTGTAGTTTGCGGACATATGCCCTGTCAAACGAGACGCCGTGTTTGCTCGAGGGTATTCGTTCCTTCAATCGTTTGCTCACTCACTCACTCACTCACTCACTCACTCACTCACTCACTCACTCACTCACTCACTCACTCAATCACTCAATCAATCAATCAATCAATCAATCAATCAATCAATCAATCAATCAATCAATCAATCAATCAATCAATCAATCAATCACTCTCATGGATAACGGCGTGGAAGTAATGCTGAAAGCAAGCCCGACAGAAGTATAAAAACCTAAGAACGAAAGCAATATATCACGAATAATGGTGTAGCGAATGGCTATTGTGAAATTAACGTCTGTCCCACATTCTTTCAACAGCTCGGTTATGATAACGGTCATATCATATGAATGGTCGTAATAGATTTAGCGAGCAATCACTAACATCTCCGGCTTCTCATTAAATCCGCTATCCTATACGAATGCATTGTTACTCTGGGGATATCTGTCATTCTCGATATACGTCGCTATCCTGTTTCGAGCTGTCGAATAAGCCGTATTTCGCAAGTATTGCAAGCTCGTCGAACTGCACGGCTCGGGATAACACCGGCATTTCGTTATGTTTTCGCGAAGTAACAGCGCACATACTGACCATAAGTCGAATCCTAGTTAAGAGCAAGACGTCAAGCTGTCGGCTGAACTTTGCCTCGGAAACGAGCAACTTAAGCCGGGCAAAACTTCGATACGAGCCGCGTTTTGCATAAGCCGGCCCTTCGGCTTTTTTTTTTTGACCCTGAAATGAGCAAGAGCGTGATATGAAAATGAGGCGCTTTCGTTCTCTTGACTAATGATGCATATTCGAGATGATAAACACGGAGCTGTGACACCGACATCGTGGTTGGGAAAGTTCTGAGGCCAAATGCGCAAGTGGCTGCGATATTTTTTTCCCATTCAAAATTACCTTAACATTCATGCGTTTGCGATGGCTTGTTTCTTCAGTTACATAAAATTCACGAGAACTCGTTAAGATTAGATATGGTGAATGATGCAGTAATTAGCGATGGGGCTCCCGGCAACGTTAAAATAATGAAGGTCCCGCTAGTCTTCTGTATTCCGAAGAGTTCAAGACTGTAGTCACAATTTTGTTCTGGAAGAGGTGGTGAGGGGTTGAGTCACTCTTCATGTGTGTTCGCACGTACATGAAGTATGTGTGCACGTATGTGTGCACATGTAAAATGAGAAAAGAATTAGAGAGGGGGATACAAGGCGTTTAAACTTCTTCAGTACCTCCAACCTCACCGCGGCCCTGGTTACGCCAAATACTTCGCCCTCTCTCATCTTTAATGGCAAGCTTTCGTTGTCACGTACTGCTACGAGGGTGATAAATTTTGTCACATGGACGTTACATTACAAGTGTAGTCCGCTGAGTACAGTGCCGAGTACAGATAAGGTTGTGAAGGTGGATATGTGTTACTGAGATTATGTCGCATTGTTTCAGATTGGCCATAAATACTTTGAACGCATGCTTGCACGCGTCGTACTTCGCTGCGCTTGTTCTTGTCATCTGTAATCCACACCCTGACATGTACGATCTAAATTATTTATAATGGTCACACTGTGAGCTAACATCTAGAGGCGACGGGGTGGTGATCGCGTCACTCTCTTATGCTGCCGATTCACAGCTGAAATGGGCTTTACGGCATTTTAAATTTCAACATCGCGCTTAATAATACTTACACGTATTAAATGTGAAGCATTTTTTTGCGTACTGCAACCACTTTTGGCATCTATCTATCTATCTATCTATCTATCTATCTATCTATCTATCTAATAATAAAGTTGTTTACTACTATCTATCTATCTATCTATCTATCTATCTATCTATCTATCTATCTATCTATCTATCTATCTATCTATCTATCTATCTATCTATCTATCTATCTATCTATCTATCTATCTATCTATCTATCTATCTATCTATCTATCTATCTATCTATCTATCTATCTATCTATCTATCTATCTATCTATCTATCTATCTATCTATCTATCTATCTATCTATCTATCTATCTATCTATCTATCTATCTATCTATCTATCTATCTATCTATCTATCTATCTATCTATCTATCTATCTATCTATCTATCTATCTATCTATCTATCTATCTATCTATCTATCTATCTATCTATCTGGGTAAGATGGTTTGACGAATATGACGCGCTGGTCACGACATGATGAATGTCACAACCCCGTCGCATACGTCGTCAAACACTTCCCGCCAGACATTGGCACATACCCGCGGTGGGTGGGTGCGCATTGGTATGCGGGTATGTGCCACAGGTGATCGAAACTTGGTATTTACCCGGTAACGGTGAGAACAGATATGAACAATTTTAACGCGTGAGCTATAAGAAAAAGCTTGCATCGGGAGCAATGGCCCGATGAGTGCGAAGAATAAATGTCAGGTTTCCAGCAGAAATTGAACCTCAGCATTCTCCGTGGCGATCAAGTGTTTTTCCACCGAGCCACGCCGGGTATCGGAAGTTCATTTTAAGTAGATGATAATGTTCGTGAAACGTTAGCTGTGGTTACAGTGCTGACTGTCCCATTACATAAACATTACCTATATACTCCCATGATCCAGCCGTCACGTGGGGTTAGCGTCATGGTGTAGTTAGGTGCCATGCATTGAAGTTGATTTTATGTAGCAGTGCCTAGGGCTACCCTCAGGAGCGCCAGCACTTCATATCAACTTGTCGCTTCTGGTGTTGCTAATACCTATGTTCCGGTTGGCATCGTTGCGCAAGTGCAAGGAAATGGTCATATAAACAGTGGCGACTATTCAACCTATCTCTGTGCGTGTAACGTTTGTACATATGTTTAGCGTCGTTTTGTAACGTCTCACTCAATAAAAAAAAAATTACAACATGGTCAAGTTCACTCCGCATGCTTCGCAAAACGTAGATCCACAATGTACGTGGATATGTCGAATTATAAAGTTCATCTTCCCCGTGAACCAGACATTGTGGAGTTTTTATTTATAGGCTTTAAACCTATGAATATGTTGTCGATGCGCGTCAGCCACGCTCTGCGTAGGCTGCCCATACGCGGAGCGTGGGCCTTGCTCTGCTATCCCACTTATACGGCTAAGCGAAGAGCGCTCGCACACTCACGCTCCGCTTAGCTGCCGAGCAGAGCGTGAAAACACCAACTTAAAACGCTCAAATGCTGGTTCCTACGCAAGTGTTCGGGTCGAAATGACGATGCTGTGACATGAAGTGGGGACTGCAGAAAAAAAAAGAACACGCATTACAAAGCCATAATTTGTCACCTTTCAATACAGCGCTCCACCTAAAGACGCAGAAGGGGCGTATGAAAATTCTGTTTCTCCATTACGGTGATAATGGAGGAATGCTCGTATCGCCAACTGGGTAACTGTGAATCTATTACCTCGGGAGTGGCACATCGGAACTGCGCACAGTGGCTCATCGATAGCAGGAACCTACACGCCCAGGAGTTATGTAATGCTTCAAAGAGCTTTATAGACATGCCGCCATAATCGAGGCGCTTACGTTACCGCAGGAACGGTCTTAAGCTGCAGTGTTATAGCGGAATTCAGCGCCGGTATGCGGAGCTTGTCCCTTCAGCATCCTTTGCCTGCCGGGTGTGGCATTCACTAAGAACGGCCGATTCCTCATCGGTGTGAGTGAGCCATATTCTCACTATAAAAGCGAGCGTGAGGACTTCATAGAATATCTACTATAGTCTCCACGTTGATTAGAGGTGACTAGAAATAATTCATCAAGCACTGCAGTCACTGGAGCCAATGTTTCAACAAAGACTTCATGTTTGTCTGGGCAGGCACTGTCTTCATGTATGGGTATCCTTCACTCATTATCTCCCAACCAATGAAGTGGAGGAAGATGACATGCTTTTGAAAGAGTTGGGTACTACAGAAAGACTGGAAAGATGCCGCGAGTAGCTAGCAGGTAGTGAAACAAACTACAAATACGCAATAAAAGTCTCTTTTCCTCCTCCACATTTCTTGTAGGGAGAGAGTTAGAAAACGAACCCGTAGACAGAGAGTCAAGGACGGCACTTGCTGCCTTCATGGAGTTTAATAACAGTACACTAAAGGGAAATTTGGCGCTAGTGTCTATGGGAGCTGCAACGCATGCCACTTCAGCCGTCGTGGATATTATGAGTGTAGTACATGGATTAGCCTAAGCTTCGTGCCATTGGCACCGTATTACTCTGTGAAGCTGGCAGCAGCATTGTCGCTAGACGAAGTTCAGTAAAAGTTCAGCAGTCTCTTTCCTACAGTTTGAACCTTTTAGGCTCACCAGTTCAGATAAGCTTACGATGAGCTAGGTAAGTAATTCTCACGGTGGCAGAATGATTGGAGCGACACACTTTCCAACCAGAAAATATTTTAGAAAGTGGTAAGTCCAATTGTAGGAGCTTTGGCTCTAGCGACGTTCAATTTTAACGATTTCTGCGGGCCTATGTGAACACGTTTGACTTTTGCACAGTGCCACCACTGCATACGTGTCAGCCCATGTACTGACAATTTGCTCCTCTGTTTCTCTTCTCTTTCCTCTTTCTTATCTTTATACTCCCCTTTCTCATTTTCCCATTGTAGGGAAGCAAACTGGGCGTTTGCCTCAGTAATCTCCCTGCCTTTTTTCTTGTTGTTCTGCCTTCCTTCCTGGTTATCCCTTAAGAATTTCACCTTCGGTTGAACTGCCGTCTTCTTTGTATCCTTTTAATTGGAGGCATCAGAACAGAGCACAATGTCGTCAATGTCGAGAACATGGCAGCAGTCGATAACGTTCGGAACAGAACCAAGCTGCAAAAGACGTGTGATTGCAGATCGGGGCTCTCACCACAGGTTGTCCGCGGCGCGCCTCGCGGTAGAAGGGATCCACGATCTGCCACGTGGTCAGGATGATGACGTCGAGCATCAGGAACACCCCGACCACCATGAACAGTTTGTAGTCCTTGATCACCTGCGAGGTTTGGAGAGAAGGTGCGTTCGTTACGCCTTGATAGCGTTTGTCAAAAGATGGGATCTCGAAAGAGCGAGGGTTATACGCACACTATGGCTGAACCATGCACTGCGATACGCATGGCGGACCAAGCGGTATTTGTTGAAAGAATAACTAGTGCCAATTGTTTGTGTGTCAACTAGGGTGATGTGAAGGTGAATAATTTCGTACTGACTGGAAAAAAAGACCTCTAATTATTTTCGATAAGTCATTCAAATCCCGACTTCTGTTTTTAAAAGGAACGAGCAAATTGCATGAATAGAGTTCAGCCCATGTAGTGATGGAATGATGCTAGTTGTAGAAGAGTAGAAGTTTGGTCCAGTTCGTGATGCATATTTAGTGAAAGAAAGCCTTCGTTTTTCCTCTCTCACCTATTTTTTCGCCTCGTTTATTTCGCTTCTTTTCACCAAGAATGCTTGCTGTCCTTGTAGTTCCCTACGCGCATTAAATAGCAGAGCCGTTCTCGGATCAGTGCTTTTGGAGAGTCGGTTGTTTGCTCCTAAAATATTTGGTCCAACTCGATTCGGAAGATCGGCCACAAATCGTACGGTGTGTTGTTTATAACATTAATTACATTGATGAAAGAATAGGTTTAGAAATAGCTTAGCAGCAACTCGTTATTACTATAAACAAATAAAATTCAGGTAAAATCGAGATAATAAAAATAAACCACTGTAACAAAGAAAAGGTTCGAAAAAGAGACTGAATCTAGTTGCTCCCAACATTGCATTATTTTTATCCCCCGCAGAAAATCACATAATCCTTAAAAAACTACAATACCTAAGTAAAATGATAGCAGCAAATGAAAGACTTATTGCACATGGGCAAGCACATTTTTTTGGAGCTGGTGTTTTGATGGGTACAACATTTTAGTTTTGCTTAAATGAAAGACTTATTGCACATGGGCAAGCCCGTTCTTTGGAACTGGTGTTTTGGTGGGTACAACATTCTAGTTTTGCTTTTCAATGCTCTTTCATTGAGCTGTGAATTTTCAACTGAATTAATAGCCAGGAAGCGTTATTTTTTATGAAAATGTCCTGATATAGACTCACAAAGGGAGATAATTACACGTGTTAAATGTGCAGCGCCCCCCCCCCCCTTTTTTTTTTGAAGACAGGCCTCCCGAACATTGCAGCAGAGTCAGCAGTAATATCAAGACGACGTGTGTTCACGCGTAAATGCGGGTTTCGGAAGCCAGGGCGTAATACATTGCCCGTGTCTTCAAGCTATTGATTTCGGCTGCTATTCTCGGAGTCGGGTAAGTGCGGCGTGTTGCGTGTGCACCGCTTTATGAGGCCAGCAAACCGATATACGTCAGCTCGAAACAACGGGTATACCGCGCAAGCACATTCATCGTGCAGTTGTGTATATTTGCGCCATGGTCGTTTTCGCTTTTGTTTTTGGAGCCGAAATACGCGCATATGTAAAAAAAAATTAAATATTCATTTTTGACTGCCGATGGCTTACAACCAACAATAGCTGCGACGTGTTTTGCTCAAGTAGCCCAGTCATGCCGGAATGGTCTTGGTTGATTTATTGATTGGGTAATTAGTTCTATAAATAGATTATTTGTTAATCTTTAAGCGCATATAAGTAAGGACATCTTGGCGCCTCACGGTGGCACTCCAAATCCTGGAACCAGGCTCCAGTGCTAGTTGTAACCAGGAAACAGAATAATGAAGCCCATAATTTCGGGACTTCATTATCCAAGAATCAATATTATGGTAATTCTAGTTTTTAAAAGTGCTTGTGTTAGTCGTTATGCGCCTGAATAACTCTTCGTTTCCGATTCCAGCAACAGTCTGAACAGACCTCGCAGAACCCATAAAGCAATCGCAGCCGAATTTGTTCAGAACTGTCGTAGCGTGCATCAGCAACGTTAGGTCACAGTTGCCAACGTTAGCCGACTCTAGTGGACCGTTGCCGACACTCCCCCACGTCAGGTAAGAGCAAACAGAATTACTTATTCCTACTTGGGTTAGAGTTAGACCCCGAAAATAGTCAGATCTGGATGACCGAGAATAGCGAGAGCTTGAACTATGAGTCCCGGGTTCTTTTATCATCATTAAAAACGGTTTTTAAAGAAGTGTTTTTTAACCCATGTATGCCCAGTACATGTAGGATAGAGAACCTTTTAAGTGTAACTCGAATGTTGTTTCCGTAAAAAAAAAGTAGTGCCACATAAGGTGCGTTTATGATGTCCTGTCCTCGTCACATGCAGGTCTAGGCGATCGCTGGGCTACAAATAGCCGAGTACTTGCAGTAGTAAAATGGCTATTTCACGTGCATGTAGCTGAGCACCACACCGCGACAAAAATATAAGTAATATAGAGTCAAATTGTTCTCGATGCTTCTGATGTTTTTGTCGATTGTTCGTCAGTTATTGGGTTTGCAGTAACTTTAGTATGACAGTGATAGGCGTGTTGGCTTCGTCGGCGTCCTTGAAACACACGAGACCTCGTAGTAAAGAGAATAGTTTACTGACACATAATAAAACACACGCCACAAAGGCTACACTCAAACGCCACTCAGGCTACTTAGCGCCACACAGGCCAAACTTCACGAGTGTCTCTCTGAACGTCATCGTCGCCTTCTTTCATTACCTACAAACAGGCACGTGCATTTCTAACATTCGGCCATCCTGCAACGCTTAACGGCCTCATTAATGCTGTCCCAAGAATGTTCTCGTGACTTGACATACAAATGTTCAGCCATCCTGCTCAACAACAGAACCAGACGACACCAAGAACACTGGAAATGCCGGTGCGAATTTGACGAAAGAACCGCCGCAGACGCGCCAACAAAAGTCGAAGCCTGAGCCTGACCAAGCGTCGAAGCCACAATTTAGACTAGGGAACACTGGCATCGTACGCGTTGTGGCTTTCTTCAAAGTCAAGCCGGTCAAGATTTATGGAAGCTATGACATTCCCTTGAAAGTTTCACGGTACAAACGGGTGAACTTTTGCGTTCCGTGAAGAACTTAACGTGTCAGTGTAGTGGTATAGCTTGTTTCTTTTGTTATTTATTTTTGTTTAACATGTTTCGTTCGTGTATCGTTGGTTAGGTATATCATATAAGAGAATGGCCGAACATCTGTCATAGAGTAACATAGTAATGCATCTGTATGTTAAGTCAGCCAATAACATTCTCGGGACAGCCTCAACGAGGACGTTAAGCGTTGCAGGATGGCGTTGCGTTTTGAGTGTGGCCTGTGTGGCCTGTGTTTTTATGCGTGAGTATGTTTATGTGTGAGTATGTGTGAGTGTGTTTTTATGCGTAAATATTTCTTTTGTTGCGAGGTCGAAGTCAACAGACGCTAATGTTTTTTTTTTGTTTATGGTGTGTCAAAGATAGGTGTCCTACATACAGTACGGCTCCAAAATCATTGTTTGAAAGAGTTCTTTTTTTTTCAATAAAAGCCTTATTATGTTTTCTGGGGTCGTATAAACAATCATTTTGGGAAAGTAAACTAGTTTTGTTAATTTTCCGAAGTTTGGGCATTAAGTTTTGTTAATTAGTTTGGGTTGATTAAACGTGTATAAAAAGAGCTTGGAGGCAATGTGTGGTGCCGGCTACGCTTCTTCCATATTAGTCACCGGCGCAAATCAGTGGACAAGCACAAAACTATCCAAACAGACACATACACACGAAGACACACCAAATTAGTCCCGGTTCTCTAATACGAACAGTGTCCGCTCCAGAGATAAGTTCACAAACACAAATAATTGCATAAACAAAATGTCCACACAAAACAAGAAAGTTCGCCAAGATATTGTCACAGCCGATCATTAGGAACTTGTATTCTTACTGCAACCCTGACGATTGCATAAGAGAATCTTACTCAAACACGAAAACATATACGTAACCAAGAACACCGATAGATAAAAATAATGTAAACCGTATACTTCAGTCAAATTTAGCATGTTAAAATTAACAAACTTTGTGGACGTTTCGTCTTTCATTGCAATAGTCAAGTTATATTTTTTTGCTTCACTAAGTGGTCCCCCCCCCTTTTTTTAATCTCCCGATTTTAATGACCCTGATAATCGCGTACTTTAAGCGAGCACAGCATACTGCTTGCGAAACCCGAGAACGTTGAAATGCGTGAAATGCGAAGCTTGTCGGTGATTCGTGTTAAATTAATACGGTGCAGTACATCGCGAAAACACCGGCGTGTTTTGTTTGTGGAGTGTGTCGCGTTAGTAGTGAATGGAAACGAAAACGGCCTTCTCACCTTCTTGTTGAGCTTTATGTTCGTGAAGATTGCGTGAACTCGCCACGTCTTGCTGAACATGGCGCCAAACGCAAGCGTGAAGCCTGACATGAGGACCCACGCCCGAGCCTGCGTAAAGAGAGAGAGAGAAAAAAAAGGAGGACACCTTGTGAATTCTAAAGTGTGTTGGGCGAAAAAAGCCTGTAGATTCAACTATGCCATGTCATTTTTATCTGCTTTTTTCCTTCTCTTTCTTGCATTCTCTTAGAAAGCACGTTATTTGTGGGACAGGGTAAAAAGAGAGGCCACAGCGGGCACCTTTCCAATGCACGAAAAGTGTGCTTGGTGAAAGCTTTTAGATTCGACTATACCATATCATTCCTTTTTTCTTTCTACTTCCTTAATCTTTTATTTCGAGGCGGAAACGTTGGAGGCGCGTGGGCTCTTATTTGGGTGCACGTTAAAGAACCCCAGGCGGCCGAAATTTCCGGAGCCCTCCACTACGGCGTCTCTCATAATCATAATATGGTTTTGGGTGTTCAACACCAAATATATTATTATTATTATTATTATTATTATTATTATTATTATTATTATTATTATTAATATTATTATTAATATTATTATTAATATTATTATTATTATGTACACCGCAAACAGATTAGGGTGCCCTATAACGTCGCGATTACTCATGAACTTGTAGCACTGAGCAGTTAACCATAGAGTAACTATTTATGCAGTTACCCTAGTTCACCATACCTGCTTGTTCCCAAGACGTCCACTCTTTGAAGTGGCAAATTATGCGATTTATTTATTAATCGACTTTGTCGAGAAATGCACGCTATTAGAAACGAAAAGGAACGTAACAGTTTGTTTAATTTGCAAACTCTCCACCTTCGTTTACTGAATTAAGCAAATTGAAAGAGGAGTTAGTAAAGTGAAAACGGCGACACGTGAAACAATGCCACTTTAGTTCGCAGTATACTAAACGCTTATAAAAGGAAAAAAAGTGAATGATTTGGCAGTATCACGAGTTCATGCTTCTTACGTGGTAAAGAGCAGGCTGGCTGTCTGTTCCAAGAAAAGTGCAGTGTTTCAAGAAGGAGTTCATTTTTTCACACAGATGTTATATGAGATTACCGTATATTCTAAACAACAAAGAGACTAGGGACAGATTGAACGTGAATGAGGAAGAGCTAGCGCTCTCCGAAAGCGTCAGGTCCGTGGCCCGACGAACATCAAATCGCCAGCTACCACGAGAAGAAAGGCGATTGGACTGACCGCGCATATGTATGGAAAGTTGGCGACCGAGGTGAAACCAGAGTCCATTCCCAGAAGGATGACGCTGGTGTAGGTGAGGATGCAGCCCACGATGATGAGGTTGTTTAGGTACGGGCTCGACATCTTGATGTACCTGCGCCATTTCAGCAAAAAAAAAAAAAAAACACATCTTGTCCGGAATCACGTCGTAGCAGGCATCGCGCAGACCCCGAGAAAGTTTTTTAAGGCTTTCTAGAGGACGTATACCCGAACAAGCGCCAGTGATTTGCACGTCGCTTATCCTACACTCCACCGCAGCTATTTTTTGCGCGATAGCATTACAGAACTCGTTTCGCAGAAACTTTGTTGTCAGCATCGTTGCTTCTGAGCAACAAATCGTCATCTCTTCCGTGACCGAAAAAAAACCAGAAGGATGCAAATTAATTAAATAATAAAGTTTTTTGCATGGGAATCGAACCCAGAACGTCACCCGCTGCATGGCAAGTGGGTGTTCTACCACAGAGCCACGTCAGTACTTGAAGCTGCTTTGTAATGACAAGTTGTTTACAGTTGCGTAACGATTCCAAGAGCAGCACAACTATTACCAACACCAATTTTATTGATATGTAAGGTTTGACGTCCCAAAACCATCATATGATTATGAGAGATGCCGTAGTAGAGGGATCCGTAAATTTCGACCACCTGGGGTTCTTTAACGTGCACCCAAATCTGAGCACACGGGCCTACATTTCCGCCTCCATCGGAAAATGCAGCCACCACTGCCAGGATTCGATCCCGCGACCTACGGGTCAGCAGCCGAGTACCTTAGCCAGTAGACCACCGCGGCGGGGCTTACCAACACCAAAAACGCTAAGCTCAAATGTAGCACTTTTGCTTGCGAGGATGGTAGCCCTGCATAGTGGTACGTAGACCTACATCAGTGGATGTCGCTTAACTACAATTAATGCTACACGTAGTGATGCCTGAAACATTGCAGTACATACAACTCTGTGAGGCTTATAAAGTTAGACGGGCAGCACTGCCATCAGAACTGATGTTTCAACAACATTACGCCCGCACAGGGTCTTTTTCCAAAGCAGTTCCAAGACCTGGAGTGGCTTTGGGCTATAGAACACTGAATTGCCACGAAGTAAGCTTGGGTTCGATTCCTATGTGGACCATAGCATTTACTCTTTGCATACGTCGGCCCCGCCGCGGTGGTCTAGTGGCTAAGGTACTCGGCTGCTAACCCGCAGGTCGCGGAATCGAATCCCGGCTGCGGCGGCTGCATTTACTATAGAGGCGGAAATGTTGTAGGCCCATGTGCTCAGATTTAGGTGCACGTTAAAGAACCCCAGGTGGTCGATATTCCCGGAACCGTCCACTACGGCGTCTCTCATAATCATGTGGTGGTTTTGGGACGTTAAACCGCACATATCAATCAATCAACCAATCAATCAATCAATCAATCAATCAATCAATCAATTAGTCAATCAATCAATCAATAAATCAATCTTTGCATGCGTCGAATCAGCGCTGTCAATGCTGGTTTTGCTTGACACTCTTGCACTTGAATTACCAACGTTTATTATCACCGTTTCTCGGCAGATGGGAACTGTTGAAACGCCTGTTGTGCATACCCGCATACCGCGGCCCACGATATACGGGTGTTAGCCACACGGGTGTGGAGGAAAGGGTTTGACGTCTTACGCGACAAGATTTGCATAATATTTATCTCATGACCAGACGATCATCACCCTCAAACCATCTTATAATCCAATACTAATTTCAGTCTACCCCGACCCCAAGTTAAGGGAGGTGTTTGGAAGAGCACCTATGATTAGATAGATAGATAGATAGATAGATAGATAGATAGATAGATAGATAGATAGATGGATAGATGAATAGATAGATAGATAGATAGATATATAGATAGATAGATAGATAGATAGATAGATAGATAGATAGATAGATAGATAGATAGATAGATAGAAACGGTTAAAGTGTCCGCATGACGCAATGAAATGCTTCGCTTAAAAAAAAAGACACTATATGAACATCATGTAGGGCAAGGTGTCTCCGTAGCACATGATATATTGCGTGGCAGAATCTGTAGAACCGCACCAGGCTTAAAAACAAGTAGTTTGTGCAAGTAGTGGGTGCTTTAAAGCTGACCTACTCATTAAGAAGTGTGTATTGCGCAAGTGAACGTAAGTCGCCAATTAGCGAAAGGAATGGCTATGGCGTAATGGGTACTCAGCAACTGACCATTCAGTAGACATTTTAGGATAGTTTGAAACGGCCGATGTTAGGCGCACAAGCATTCCTTTCCTTGCGGTATGGTTGAAGGCGATGCTCGCGGGACCTGTTTACGCTCTCGCTCTGCTCTCGAAGGTCAAGCGCCCTCGAAGTGTCTCTCTCTCTCTCTCTCTCTCTTGTGACACGGGCAGTAAATAACACGCCTGTTTTCTTCCAACTGCTAGCGGTCGAGTACGCAGGTTATCGGAGTATTCTGAAGTCTCATGAGCCGCAAAACTGCTAAGAAATGAATGATTACGACACAAGTTGTAGTCTTATGATTGTTGAAACCTTGTTTTCAAATTTAAAGTTTCTTCAGGTATTTTACATGTCTTACATTAGTTTTGTTTATGTCCTCTACAGTTTGCTTCATTTGTCGGACACGGATATGCTTTACTGATTTCACTGCCTGCGCAAGTTTTTCGCTCATTTATGTTTTCCTGTACATGATTTGCATGTAGAAACTTATTTATGCTAAATTTCTTATTGACTCTTTACTTTACACGGAGCACTGTGTTATTTTGGTGGGTTTTGGGTTTACAGGGGGCAGGCGCTTTGTCAGGCTTTTATGTCTTTTCGCCGGTCCCCTAGGCAAATTGTATCTTTCTTTTTTTTTTTGCTTTTGCCTGAAATAAACTTCAAACTTCAAACTTCAAACAAGTTAAGAATTGCTTTGGATGCATGCACCGTAAGAAAAAAAGTGCTAGCATTTTCATTCGACTGCTGAATTCGAGTGATATTTTAACTGCATTTACGTTGAGCCCAACTGCCAGCCTCGCTTAAAAAACGAACTTCACCGACATGCCTTCCCACTAGTTTGGCAAGCGCTTAAATGTGACTTGCAGCGGTACATTTTTCAATGCTTCGAGAGAAAAGGGGATGCTCGTCAGATGACGCTGCTTGCCTCTGGTTCCTGAACTTGATGTTTATGACGAGAAACACCGAGGCGAGTATGATCCCTAGGACACAGAAGATGCACAGGCTAGCGTAGATGGTGAGGTTGACGCGCGTCCTCTGAATCACAATCAGCGTCCGGTCCATGGGAGGGTCAGAGCCGCCTGCATAGAGGATTTGGAAAAAAATGAAATGATTAAGAAATAACACCGTCTCCCACTAAAGGGGACTATGAGTAGCATGGGAAGCAGCGCGTGGCAGACCTAGGAGGAGGAGGAGGAGGAGGAAGAGGAGGAGGAGGAAGAGGAGGAGGAGGAGGAGGAGGAAGGGAAGAAATGAAAGGCAGGGAGGTCAACCAGACGCACGTCCGGTTTGCTACCCTGCACTGGAGGAAGGGGTGAGGGGATTAAAGGAGAAGAGAGAGAGAAGTGAAGGGCAACGTGTGTGTAGATGTGACCTTGTCCATTGCACGCTTATAAGCGGTCGCGTAGTCCGGTCGTCTTTAGAAAACTTAGCAATGCCCGCGTCGCTAATGTTCCGATTATCACGGGCACCTTGTCTGATGTTGAGGCGTCCTTGCAAGTGGAACACACCATGTATGCACTGTAGTTAATGTTGTTCATACCCGTCCCGAACTAGTTCTTGTTGTTCTCGTGCCCCTATTGATTGTTACGCCTACCCACTATGCAGGGTTGGCCAAGAATCGAGTGGTTTTAAAAATTATTGTTCAGATTTAGAATAATGAAGATATTATAGAAAGATTACCGATGACCTGTGAAAGAGTGGTGCTTGATATAATTCATACAATAATAAATAAAGAAACGAATTTATTCTCAGAATAGAGCAATAATCTGATTTTTATACGTATATATTTTTGAAGACATGTTAGGATAATGAAACAGAATAATTAATTAGTCAACCTATTAGTTTCATCTATATAGTCCCGGACGGCTGCGCATACTGTCGCATTAGAGAACCCAGAAGTGGAAGTTCCAAAAGATAAAATGACAGGCACAGATAAGTCCATACCAATACCACGTAATGGTATTTCTAAAAGGGTTTTTCGTAATGTGTTAAACCGCAGCTGCAGGTCGAAAATAAATGAACTATAGTTTCCCGTTCATCACAGAACGCGCACAGTGGCGAAGGTGCCTGAGCAGACCTGTGTTTATAGAAAATATTGTTGAAGCATCCCCGCGCAGGAGCCCGTGCGTTTGCCGCCCGCGTCTGCAGAATCTCGCTCCCCGACGCTATCACATGATTGCTGAGAGAGTGTAAGGGAGAGAGGCCACAACGTGGAGAGACCACAGCAAGGGGGAGAGGCCACAGCGTGGAGAGGCCACAGCGTCTTACCCACCCTCTCACACAGGCCGGAACGCGTGAGTGCGTTCTGACAGTGCTTGCGCCAGCCGTTGCGCGTGCGCAGCAAGGGTGGTCACGCCGCACACCGGATGGAACTGCTTAGTAAACTGCTTCGCATCTAAAAAGGAACCGTTTGGGCAGATCCGAGACAAGGTACTGTCTATGTGTTTGTGAGAGTACTTGCGTGTTGATATTTGAATGGAAAATACATATATGGTACAACACCAATAGCGTGCATTAGCCGACCTTGTCATTTACGACTCCACACCTAATAAACCAGCGGACGAGCTGTCAGCTTACGAAATAGCGTGCTACGTGACGTCAGCTGGTAAAGGGTGTTCCACACTAGCTTTCGTAGCTAGCAGCGGCTCTGGCAATAATTCCAAGTTTCCTCTCACATAAACATAGTAAAAGAGAAAAAAGAGAAGTAAAAAAAACATGAAGGCCTTTTGGAATGACAGCATGTGGTTTGTTACCCTGCACTATGGGAGGAGGAAAGAAAATAAAGATAGAAAAAGAGCAGAGAGAAATCCCCTACAGTATAGTGGATGGCAGAGCATCTGCCGCGCTATCTCAATAGCTGGAACATCAGACGCGTCATCAAAAGGCTGTAGATTTGGTCCCTACCGGTGATCTTGTTGATTTTTGTCCTCTTTCCAATTATGTCCGGTCAATTAAACTCAGTATCAACAAGTGTAAAATAACGAAGATCTCGTGAAGAAGTACTGACTGCACTAGCCCCGTTTCTTTAATTACTGATTTTCAGCTGTCATCCGCCAACACCTACAAATATATTGGTGTTCATATAGGTAAAAATTTAACATGGAATAGCCATATTAATTATGGTATTAACAATGTGAGCCGGACTCTAGGTTTCATGCACCGTTACTTTTCATTAGCGCCTGTTTCGTTAAAACTTCATTGTAAAACAGTTGTCAGATATAAACTCGTGCACGCCTAGTCAATCTGGAATCCCCATTCTGGTACTTGTCAACGCCCCAGAAGCCAATCGAAATCTCTCTCCTCGTTTCACTGTCGCTAATTACTTCCGAGCTGCTAGTGTCTCATCAACAAAAACTTCTCTCGACCTGTCTATTCTTTCTAGAAGAAGGGAGCAAGCCCGCCTATGCCTCTTCCACAAGTTTTTTTTTTCATTAATCCCGAAATGAAACGCACATTGTCTTTGCCTTCTTCTCAAGTTTCATTTTGCGTAAACCACAATTTCAAAGTTCACGTGCCATTCTGCCATAATAACGTGTACTTCCACTCCTACGTGCCCAAGACTTCGTCTGAATGGAACCACATTCGTGCCCCCATCGCCAGCGATTCTGATCATGCGTCATTCAAGACTGCCATTTTTGACTTATAACACCATTCCTTTCTTTGACGCCGTGAATGGCATTGATAGTACTTAAATAATTAAATAAATAAATGAATAAATAAATAAATAAATAAATAAACGTCATAATTTAAAGTCTACGTATATTGCTCCTTATATTTATAATGGCTTTATTGTAAGTTGGTTTTATTTGGTTGTTCTAATGAAGGAACGAGTCCTTAATCGATTACTCTAGTTTCATTCGCCATAATTTAGCATCATTGCAACCGTGACTTCTACTTTAGTACAACATTAAGAAGGTAGGAGCGGCCCCATCTAGATGACCGGTGTGCTCAATCACTCGCATAATGTAAGCGTCCCTCGTTAACGTAGGGTAATTTTGCCCGCTGCGGTATGTCAAGCTAATTGACCGTAATATTATTCTCGCAGTCAGGGTCATCAGTCGCCGTTTAGCATCCTGTCTGATTTATTGTTCTTCTTGTTGACAGCCTTCTGAATGTGGTATTTTCGTATATCACTGCGGAGCTTGATTAGCAGAGCAACCGCAAACCTTGCTTAGTTGCAGCATTTGCCACCAGGATGATCACCCTGCGATCTAAGTTTTTTTGTTTTTTCTTCGTTCCCCGAAGAAAATAAAAAAAATGAAGGACAATTTAGCAATTACGGCATGCCATTTTTGTTCTTGTTTGTTCACAGAAGGAGCCGAAAGTTTTTGAACAACCTTAATGCTATTTTCACCTAAACGGTATAAAGCCTTCTTCACTGGGACGTGAGTGGTCTGGTGTTAATTTGGGTTGCGTGTATTATACTGTTTAAGAACCCGGAGGAAAGATATTTTGTCCACAAAACAATGTTCAGGGCCTTCAGATATGTGGATTTGTGAGCCGTTTAATAAACTTGTAAAGGGAGCAAAACCTTGCGGCCTTCGGATATTTAGTTTTATCTCAGACCTTGGCGTACCAAGGTGGAGGGCTCGAGGGTTCCACCCCCCTTACTTCAAAGAAACATTCAGTTTCGCGTGACTATACACACGCGCACATATATACACACGCACAAACAGACACACGGGGTGGTTTAACACCCCCAAAATACATTTCTGGCTGCGCCCCGATACTTGACATTAACGTCTTGACACGGCAGTGCCAGGTTCTTGTCGTGTAGGAAACGGTAACACACACACTCACGCGCAACATCGAATAGTGTCTCACCACGCCAGATGATGGGAAAGCCCCTGGTTAAGTCCAGGGTCTCTGTGAGACAGTCGTACTCGCCGATCTTCACCTCTTGATTTCCTGCAAGGCGAGGAATTCGCGTGAATTAAAAAGGTCTGAAAAGGTGAAATACAGCGCTCGCCTACACCAACGAACGACGCGGCAATCAGTGGTGGTCCCACAGAGTGACGGATATATCTGTCGACTGGCGGCGGCATGCACTCGTGAGACGCCGCCCTGGTTACGGTGCTCATCTGCTTACTGGATAGTCGAGCGTTTGATCCCAGCTACGAAGGGTGCACTTCGATAAAAGTGAACATGCTAGAAGCTATAGTGTGCATGAATAATTAAGGTGCACGCTAAAGAAACCAGATGATTGATATTTCTGAAATTCCTCATTACTGCGTGCCCCATTATAATATTGTTGTTGTTGATAATGATGCTTATTTAACGTTTGGCACTTACCCACTCAAGGGGATTGGCCGAGAGTCGGGCGGGCCGTGCAGACTGCATTCATTATGTTAATATTTTTAAGATCTAGCCGCAAGGGGTAATTATGACTTTGCATTATCCACCAATGTCCAATAATATTTGTTTATACTAGGATGACACACAGAATAATTATCAGTGGTTGATTTAACTAGTATATCAATTTGAGTTGTATATAAGCGTTTCGACAGCATTGCATATACCGGGTGTTCAAAATTAAGCTTTATGATTTTTTTAAAATTAGGCGCTCGAAGGCACGTGAGAACCACTTGTGCAAATAAGTTAAGCGGCCAGGGGGACAGAAAGTTAGATGATAATTATCGCTGTCAGCAGCCCAATTAACTAAAATTTAATAATTAACTTTTTACTGGCTGCGGTAAGTTGGCATGTTTATATTGAAAAAATGTAGGCAGTGGTGTTTGTACACAGTTTCAGTTGGAAGATTTTTTCTAGCACGCCTGTGTTCCGAGATATCCGGCTCCAAAGTTTAATTGTCTTTCGCACGATTACGCATGCAAGAGGGTGAGGGTCCGCGCAAAGCTCCTCCCTAAAGTGACGCATCTGTTGCGTGTGGTGTTTAGTGTGTGAAGAGGGTGGAAGCGTAGGCATAGGTGATAGCAATTACCCTTGCCCTCTTCGGCCGGCGAAATCAAAATGTGACAGCGCGGTGCGCCATGAGCCTTACGCATGATCCTGATGAACGCGATAACAGGAGACCATTTTTCGCGACGTTTTTTCGTGACTTTAGATCACACTGAGACATCTTCTTGTGAACGCGTTAGCAGGACCGTCCTGCACTAGGGTGCCTCCGGTTAGAGCACAGCGTCTCTGCATTGAAGGTCTACCAAGGAAATCCACGTGGAGTCCTTTCGAGCTAATATGGCTGCTTCTGGCGTGAGGTATTCTACCAAAGTAAAAGTAGACGTGGTGCTTGCAATGGCTGAAATGAATGGCAACGCTTCGTTAGCAATGGAGCTTTACGCGTCTCGCCACCCACACCGTCCCCTTCCAACAAGGCCCACTTTCACAAACCTGTTTCGACGCTTCTGCACAACAGGCTCTGTCCACCTTCCGAGACGGACCAGGAAGGCAATCGTCGATGAAGACTTTGAAATCGACGTTGTCGCGTGCGTAACCTCGATGCCAGAGCTCAGCATCCGACAGATTGCCGATCAGTGCGGTCGCAGCATCGGAACAGTCACAAATGTTTTAAGAAAGCACAAGTTCCATCCATATCACGTTTACCTTCATCAGGACCTAAATGAGGCGGACTTTGAAAGGCGAGTTGACTTCTGCAATTGGGGCCTCATCAAAACTGATCAAGAAAATGACTTTTTGCACAGAATAATTTGGACTGATGAAGCTCGGTTTTGCCGAAATGGAAGTGTTAATCTTCACAACGCCCATTATTGGGCACAAGAAAACCCACACTGGCTGAGGCAGCACAAGCATCAAGTTCGCTGGAGTGTGAATGTGTGGTGCGGCATACTCGGGGACAGGATCATCGGACCTCACTTTTTTGAGGACAACTTGAACGGAAAGATGTACACAGAAGAAATATTAGGTGTTGTCATTGATGATCTTGTCTGCAGTCTTTCCCTGAATGACCTGCGCCAAGTATGGTTTCAGCACGATGGAGCACCACCACATTTTTCTACCAGGGCGAAGAACTGGTTGGACAGACGTTTTCCACAACAGTGGATTGGGCGCGCAGGAGCGATGTTTTGGCCACCAAGATCACCTGACCTTTCTCCGCTCGACTTTTTCCTTTGGGGCTACGTTAAAGATCGAGTTTACGTAACAGAGCCCAGCGATGTTAATGACATGAAGGACAGGATAACATCTGCCTGTGCGAGTATTCCTGCAGAAGTACTGCGCCGAGTCATCGAGTCGACGCGACAGCGGTTCATGCTTTGCGTTGCTGCCGAAGGCAGGCATTTTGAACACTTTTTGGGGCATTGACGTCTTGAGAGGTGAAGAGTTTCGATGAGATTTGTGCATGACCGAAATATGCTTATGTAGCAGCAGGAAATATGCGTTAGCAAGGATAAAACTGTTTCAGTTATTATTGGTGGAGTTGTTGCTCTTGTTTCAATAAAAGTTACAGTACTCGGACATCAGCAGTCACGCTATTCGCGTAGCCCAGGCAACGACCACGCATGCTTCTCTAGTGATTATTACGCACGCGCACTGGCATCCAGATTCTCCGCTCGCACCATTATCTCGGCATGGTATCTGCCACTATCGTTAGAGGCTCTGCAGTTGCGTGTTACGACACTGGTTGCAAGCGTTCTTCGATTTTTGATTTCGCCGGCCGAAGAGGGCAAGGGTAATTGCTATCACCTATGCCTACGCTTCCACCCTCTTCACACACTAAACACCACACGCAACAGATGCGTCACTTTAGGGAGGAGCTTTGCGCGGACCCTCACCCTCTTGCATGCGTAATCGTGCGAAAGACAATTAAACTTTGGAGCCGGATATCTCGGAACACAGGCGTGCTAGAAAAAATCTTCCAACTGAAACTGTGTACAAACACCACTGCCTACATTTTTTCAATATAAACATGCCAACTTACCGCAGCCAGTAAAAAGTTAATTATTAAATTTTAGTTAATTGGGCTGCTGACAGCGATAATTATCATCTAACTTTCTGTCCCCCTGGCCGCTTAACTTATTTGCACAAGTGGTTCTCACGTGCCTTCGAGCGCCTAATTTTAAAAAAATCATAAAGCTTAATTTTGAACACCCGGTATATCTGTCCAAGTTTCTCGAGTGTGCCAGCTCAGAGGCCCGAAATGATAACAGAACGATCCTCACATTGTTATTTTGGCTTTTAGAACTCGGTTGTTGTTGTTGTTGTTGTTGTTGTTTTTGTTGTTGTTGTTGTTGTTGTTGTTGTTGTTGTTGTTGTTGTTGTTGTTGTTGTTGTTGTTGTTGTCGTTGTTGTTGTTGTTACATTCCACGGGTTGTTTCTGGGCTCTCCTACTTATACAAACACACACAAAAAAGAAAACTCCCTTGAAATAACCCTTCCATCCTTCCTTTTTTCATTCACACAATAGTAGTGCAGAAAAACGGGAGTATATATTCCGTCTAACAATGCATGTTCCTCATATCTATCCCTTTTTCTCTCTGCTGAATTCGCCCTGTCCGTTCACGTATTACTGCTAGCTCAAAATCTGGTGTGGAATGTTCTATAAATCGTCTAAATGCTGGCCGAGTTTTCAAGTTCGCATTTTTTTCTGAGCTCTGAGTGTTCCAAAGGGCGGCTACGACCACCCTGATGGGTTTGAAATGCCCTAAGTCAAAATGCGACAATAAGGCGAAATTATCCGACGTACACAATAGCACTACAGGTATAGTGCAAGAACGACGCTGCTACCATCATCTATTGATACACATTGAACGACAGTGCACCAAAAGCTGACACGATGGCGAACTATTTCGTCCTAATTGATAAAAATGAATCATATTTATAGTTTAGCAGCACGAATACCTACAATTCGTACCAATTTACTCGAACAAGTATAGTTATACACGTTTAAACGTAAAAAACATAGCGTGATGTGTTGTGATGCATTTACGTTTGCTGAGGGCGAGGAATGATATTTTCTAGAGTTCCACGCACCAGAGCCATGGTATGGTTACGAAACATGCCACAGTGAGGACATCTGGAGGAATTTCGGCGAATCGATGTTCTAACGTTCGCCCAAATCTGAACACGCGGGTGCTGCTATCGCATTGATAGGCACCGATTATGGTCGCGATTCGATCACGTGAACTCGAGCTAAGTCCTGTGACACTTGGCTTGCTAAACTGTAGCAATGATTGAGAGGGCATTAAAAAAAAATATCGCACTCGATTTAGGGTGAGTGCGGGCAAGTAAATTTTAAAGAATGAGGCGTCTTGATAACCTTGGGTAGGAGAGACAAGAGGGGGGTATTTGCGCACGCCTGTAAAGTGCACAACATGTATTCATGATGTAACCTGTGTCACAAAGCTGCGCTGCAGGCATAAAGCCGTATTAGTCATGTTTTCGTTATCGCATAGTTGCGTTAAGTGAACCTCTTTTAACGAGAGCACTGGCATGACTACATCTTTTTTTCTTTGAAAGACATTGCAGAAGGACAAAGAGTCACGAAATGTACCCAGCAGCATTGCGTGGTAAACGTCCATCGAACGGTACGTCCCTTCTGTTCACACTTTCTCTGGCTCGTTAATTCACAAACTCGGAGACATTTTATGGCAAAGTGCCTCTTTCCTGTTAACAAATATGGTATAATGGCACTAAGGTCCTTTTGTCTTCGTAAGCCGATTTTATTGTTTCTTTAGCTGGCCGTCAGAGCACTCTGGAATGTCCATCTTAAAACTGCCATGACAGTACAGAAGAGAAAGAGAGAGATAGAGAGATAGATAGAGAGACAGACAGATAGAGAGAGAGGCAGACAAAGAGGGGGACGAGAAAATAAGGTAAATGTTGAACGCAAGCGTCTTTTTTTTTGTGTCTGAAGAAAATGAAAGTCAGTTCCAATCTCTGCTCCCTAAACTCTGATTCGCTAGCGGTCGATAAAATCGTGCGAGGAAAGTCACCGAAGAGGCCGTGAGGACAAAGGGGAAAAAAGTTTGAACAGACACAAAGAAAATTTTGCGTGCTTGGGCGAAGAAAAAAAAACTTTTAAAGTAAAATTTAAGTTCGAACACGACAGCGGAAGCAGTCGCACCAGGAATGGCACATTTTCTTGTCCTCTAAGCTGCCGTATAATTTAATCATCAGTGGAACGCCGGGTCATTCAGATTGACCTAGAAACAAGAAACAGTCTCAAAAGGCCTTTCTCCGGGGTCCTATAAATGGCCTCCGCGGCAGACCTCATAATTTGGCTTCTAGGCGTGGTAGTTTGCGTATAGCGAATAGATTTATGTGAAGCCCGATATCAAGGCCGGGGCTTCTTTTTAAAAGAAGCCGTCTCGGAAGCGCCCTCTCGTGAAGTACTTGCCGTCTGTGCTTTGAGTTTGTGATTTCGCGATAAAACTGTGACGCATGTAGAGTTCAGGCCTAATGAATTCGGTAGAGCGGGGTGTAGGGGCGTGGCAAGGAATGACTGTAGAAACGAACTTACTTTGAAACTGCTTCAAGAGGACCTGGCCCTTGCGTTCGTTACGAAAGAAGCGCACAGGGCCCTGCGGGAAATGATAGTTAAGGCATGTAAACTCTGCATTCGCTGACTCACTCACTCACTCACTCACTCACTCACTCACTCACTCACTCACTCACTCACTCACTCACTCACTCACTCACTCACTCACTCACTCACTCACTCTCACGTGCTCACGTACTCAAAACGTGACCTCAAGGGATCCTTGAGGACTGTTTCGCGTTGTGATCTCTGCAACGTGAAAGGTCTCGAGGATTCCTTGAGGTCGACGAGCGTTTGTGAATACGGGCGCGAGCTTCCCATTTCTTTCGCTGACCAGCGCAATGTTTAGGTCGCTCAATTGCTAGCATAGCTCGCTCGCTCGACCATTTCAACTCGCTTGTTTGGTCAGGCTCTCTCCCCCACACAGCTACACAGTGTTTAGCTAGCGCTGAATTACCTACATCTCTATTTAACCAAATCGACTCGTTTGGTTTGCTTTAGGACTAGTTAGAAATCATTTATCATTCACTCACTGAGGCATTCAACTGTAATCTAACTCAATATTTTAAGTCGTTTTGGTTCCACCACCACAATCCCTCAACAATTCGATCTCGAGCTCTTTCATTAAGTAACTCTTGTATTCTCTAATTAAGTGTGACCCACTCAACTAAACGTCGAATTTTATTGTGTCTATTTTATTTGCTTACATAGAACACTAAAGCAATGCCTTTATCGCCTCCCCCCCCCCCCCTAATGCTTATTGTATGCATTCCTCGCCTATTTCACTGTTTTATAAGAAGAAAGGGGGTGAGGTTTCGCATGCCGTTTTTCTACGGATTTTTTCATCACCCATCTCCCCTGTGCGAGTGGTCAGTGGAAATAATAAAGATTAAATAATTAGTTCAGTCATTCATCCAGATCTATACCGAGACTCACCGTGACGCCGATGAAGTTGGTCTCGTTGAGCGCCTCCTTGAAGATGCGGCCCCACCACTGCTTGCGGTAGTCGAACTCCGAGATGCGCGTGTCGTTGGCCCGCAGCCGCACGATGACCGCGTGGATGGAGAGCGCCAGCGCCCAGATGCCGTCGTACGCGTAGCCGTGGAAGCGAGAGTACTCGTTGGAGCGCATCAGGTTGTACTCGGCCTCGTACTCCGTCGGCGTCTGCGAGGAGGAGGGAGAAGAGCACACTCGGCGTTGGCGCACGCAGGTTGGCGACGGCGCATGCGCGACAAGAACTCTCACTTAGTCCGTGTTTAAAGCACCAATATTCTAAATGAGGCACGAACAATCAATCACCGTGTGAAAGTAGCGTCACTCAACCGGTCGCTACATAACGCTTGTTACGCTTATTCTAACGTATGCGCTCGAACCGCACACTGTGAGAGCTCAAAATTAGTTAGCTGCTGGTTACGCGCAGTGAACACTACTTTGTGAGGTTCGTACCGATCATTGCGTGTTTGCCTTGTTTTGCTCCTCTTTCCCTGTCAGAGGTAGCAAACTGAGTGTAGCCTGGTTAAACCTCACGGCCGTTCTTATGCCTATGTCCCTCCCTCTCTTTTTTCTTGTTAGGTGCAAATACGTGCACAACACGTTCGGTTGCTAGTCATAAGTGTGATGCCTTCGTCAGTATTTTCTGCTTATAGAAGACGCACATTTCACACAGTCAGCTGTAAACTAGGAAGGCATTTAATGTTTTCGCCAAGGCCAGACTGTTTAGATTTCCCTGAGCTATAAGCGAACATCTCAAGCTTTTCGTACAAAACTGCTTCTATTTCTCTACCGGAACGACAAGTTGGACGTACACACAAAGGCGACAGAGAGAAAAAAAAAAGGGGCTATGAAGCAAAGGATGGGAGGTTATCGATACGTCGTGCAGTTTTCTACGGTAGATGTCGTGAGGGTAAGATATCAATAAGAGTGAGAGAGATAGAGAAAAAAAAAAACGGCATGAGTATGAATGATTGACAAGCAATGGTGCAGTGTACTTGAGCTGTTATAGTTCCTTACGGGAAAAAATAAAAAATGGCCGAGCAGATTGACACTAGAGGATAGAGCTCTAACTTCGAACTGGTACAAGTTAGCGCTCGGGCCTCTTCTGCCGGTCTGCTGTTGGATGTTAGCGCTCGGTCCTGTTGTGTCGGTCTACTCGACCGTTTCTTCATTTTCACCGTGATGAGCTATGCCCGGTAAAGTACTACGAACCAACTCGTGTTATGTTCAACGCTCGTGCAGTGTAGCTGAGATTGGGCACTTACACCTCTCGCCGCGACTAATCGCAGAAAGAACCGTTCCTGCTCTGATAAGACGCGAGTCCAAGCTCCGAACATGTTCGCTTATACAAAAGACTGATAATGAGGTTCGTTCACAGAAAGGTCCGGTACTGTTGCTCAGTGCCCGAACAGCGACGGTACAAAACGGGACTACACCGCAGCAGTATGACACCAACTTCTATGTATGGCGGATAACATACTTGCACAGATCTGTATATGCGGTGCGCGTACGCGTAAGGGTGGCGTTTCCTGGCTTTGTAGCCGAGTGCGCGGAACGCTATTAGAAGTACGCGAAACGCTATAACAAGATCCTCGCGGGAGAAAGAACACATTCACAGTGAGAGATCACTAAGGTATACAGAAGGCAGTAAAACTACTCAAAAAAGGTGGTGGGTTAAGAAACGAGTACGGGAACAAACTCCAGACCGACCCATCGTTCGAGAGAAAAGCGAAACGAAGCTTGCATTGTTTTTGTTCCATTTTGCTTCCCCCGTTTTCGCTCTGCGAACTGCCACGCGAAGAAGTGCAGTTGCTGCTCGCAATCGCATTTCGCTCTACCGGATAAATTTGGGGCCGTGATCAGGGATCACCGCTGTTTGTTTCTCTTTGCGGGGAGGTAGAAAGACGCTGTACCGCGTAGCCATTACGGAATTAATGTTTGGAGCTTGCAAAGCCAATGGGATGGCAAAAGGCCTGCAATAGAGATGGTGGCGTGGTGTATAAGAAGGCGAAGGCAAAGAGCACCGCTAGAAGACTCCCAGGAAAGAGAAGGAAAAGGGGAGTTTGTTATAAGCTTCCAGGATTGGGAGCATCTTCGTGTGCGCGATCTCTGCTTCGTGCATGGTCCGTCGTGTCTTCATTCCGTGACATCAGCCGCCGTAGGATGTCATCGGCTGCCGTCGTTCAAGTGTCCTGCTGTTACATGTTCACTTAGTTCACTTGTTTAGACCATAAGCACTTCGGTGTAGCTAGGCTCTGGCTGAAGATATCCTACATAGAAAATCATACTCAGTTTCATACATTATGCACAACTTTGTGGAGCTGTGCATGAGGTTCGGTTAGTAGAATGTGCAAGTCCGCGTTTTTCACGCTTGGCTTTCGTCTGTATAACCTTGGCCTCCAAGATCGCCTCCGGCTGCGCGCTACGGGAATGAATTTCAGTGGCCACGATATGAAAGGGGACACGCTAAGCGATCCAGAATAACCTATTTAGAACCGTACAAAATGTGGGGTTTGTTTATTTCTAAGGCACAATGCATTTACATTTATTAGTCAACCTAAAAACGCATAACGAAGTATTACGGGTAGTAAAATCATGACACTATTTTTAGGTGCGAATAAATTTACTGCAAGGAGTTTCGAAAGGTTCCACAGCGTTGAACGTGATATGTGGAACGGAATCGACGTGGCCAAAGTGCGCTTGGATGTGTACGGTCAGGACAAATATAAAAAGAAACACTGAAATGGTCTGTAAGATGCCATAGAGATGAGGTGCTGTTGTCAGGCAAAGAGGCAATCTTAACATTAAAGTGGTCAGGCGAAAACGCACATTTGTGCGCGAAAGTATAGAGACCACGAGAGCGTGCGCCGAAATTGCTATCTGCGCCATCTGGTGGCGAGCTGTCTCCTATCGAGATCATCGCTCTAACGGAATTGCTGTCGACAGCATTGCTGTGAGAGAATTCGTCAGAGAAATTTCGCTCTTAACAGCAGACGGCTAGCCTCTAGACGTTTAAGATGGCGAAAGTATAGGAACCATAATGGTCCGCGCACTTCTGCTCACGGGTGTACAGTCTCAACGCAAATAGATTGGCCCAAGTGAGGAGTTGCCGGAGCAGCGAGATTGCGCGAGTGCTAATATCGAGAGTGCCAAGCATTTCCCTATTTAGAAAGCAGGGGTGATCTGTGGAAAGCACTCGATAAGCAGCCTTTTCTGGGAAACTGCGATATAGCTACGATTTCTCGCCCCTTCAGCGGAAAAAGAGAAAGAAAAATAAACTAAATATTAACGTGTACATAGCCCAATCTGCCGATAAGCAATGGGTAAGCGTTTGTTGGAAAGGCCCCTGCAACACCTTTTTATGTGGCCATGAATTGGATTCAATAAAGGAGCTTATTACCTCGCGAATTCACGCCCACGAAAATTTTTGAATCCTTCTTGTACGAACGGAGTGAGAAACATTTGTCGCACGCTGCAATTGCATTCTCTCATCCCGGCGAAAGCACTGCGAGCTAAGCTGGGTAGGATGGTACCAGGAAAGAAAATACGTCGCGTGCGCCTCGTGACCTTGAGCACATTTCTTTCCTTTTTTTTTCGTTCGAATGCGTGGCTTTTCAGTGGATCGCACGCGTGGACAAGTCACGACCTTCCGTTGCGCCTCCTGGAACGACCGAGTGTGCCATGCTCAAATCAGCCAATGGCTGATATAACGGCTGTGACGAGGGATTCTTGAGCTTCTTCCGTCATCTGTTGAGAGCGTAGCTCGGCACACTCACTCAAGAGTACACTAACTCACACTCATTTGAACGCGGTGAGTGTAAGTTGGCGTGAGTGTAAACGTGCGTAAGTACGAGTTTGAGTGGACGAGTTTGAGTGTACGTGAGTCTCACTGTGAGCACGAAGGCTGACAAATTGTGGTGAGTGAGTTTGGGTGAGTGAAGTGCCAACCCATTCTCGAGAGAAGAGGAAGCAATTTTTGGCTGACTTTGATAATTTAATAAAATGCGTTGCTGTGTGACTTGATTGATATGTGGGGTTTAACGTCCGCAAACCACCATATGATTATGAGAGACGCCGTAGTGGAGGGCTCCGGAGATTTCGACCACCTGGGGTTCTTAACGTGCACCCAAATCTGAGCACACGGGCTTACAGTATTTTCGCCTCCATCGAAAATGCAGCCGTCGCAGCGAAGATTCGATCCCGCGACCTGCGAGTCATCAGCTGAGTACCTTAGCCACTAGAACACCACGGCGGGGCGCTTCCTATAGGAGGCGCTCATTACTCGTAAGACATAAAGTCCCTTAATATAGAGAAAGTACCGACACTCTCCTTCATATCTTCTCCAATTTGTCCAACCCTCCTCACCCAAGTGTACAAAACCTTATCTATATCCTCTCCTGAACGGCCACCGTGCGGGCGCCGGCCCTATAACTCGGCTCGCGCTACTGTCATATCAAGAATGTTATGTCACGCTGATAACACGCGCGATGCTCGTGGCGGCCCGAGAGGCGAGAGGCGGGAGAGGAGGGTTGAAAGAATTGCGGTACTCTTCTAAAAATATCCAGGGACTTTAGTAAGACATGAAGCCCATTTACGAAGTACACGGGTTTAAGGATACCTGTACATATGAATACATGTACGGATACATGTACTTAATGAATACATGCAAGGGCTTTATGGGTTTAGGTGCTGTAAAGCCCCTGTACATTGCGCAGGCGCATCAGCAACAGGGTGCAGTAGTTTACATGGACACTAGGCGTGAAACTGGCGGGCAACTTCACTCGCGCATCGACGCTTTTCTTCATAGAAGGAAAATAAGCACAGGGTGCCTTATGCAATTGTCTAAGCGGACTCGAACGCGAAACCAATCTTCTTTTTCTTCTTATTAGATGTATTGGTCCTGCACCACGCCCATCTGGAGAGATTTCTGCCCCTTAGGTGGCTTTGCATTGCCGCTAAGATCGGAGGTGTTTGCAAGATATTTCTCTGCACCTAACCTGGACTTGCACTGCTGCCGTGAACGGTCCACTGTTATTCTAGCGACTATTTAATGTTATTACGTCATCTTGCGCCATTGTGACGAAGTTGCAAACAAGGGGGATCTGCGGTGTCACGATGACGTCACTCGGTGGCGCCACCACGTGTGCATTACTCGTGTTGCCGTCACCGAC